ATGTACTCAGCGGTAGTTTTCTGGATCTGAACTGCTTTTTAGAAAGTTCTGCCAGACGAGTCATTAGGAATCCATCGACGCAGAAAGAAGCATACGGCCACCCGCACTGAGTATCAATGTTAAACTATAGGAAAGATAAAAAATGACCTATATGATGCAATCTGTCAATAGCACTAAAGCAGAACCCTTCCCGCCCCATAATAAAATATGTGTTGCAACACTTACATATAAGTTTATCTGCACTTGCAGTTTTCTCTTAGTCCCCTTGCCAAGTTCCAAAAATACCTGTTGATCCTGCCAATGAAGTCCACCTAATTCAGCTTCCTTTAACGGGGTGGCAACAATGCTACACTGCTTCTGAATTCAGAGCAGAGTTGACACTCTCAAGTAGGCTGTTCATTGGACCACGGGCTGTAATATGGGTGTGCAGATCTTCGAGCGTGGCCATGCACCTGACCTTCCTGACAGCAGCACGGTAGTGATATCACCAAATCTGACTCCAATACTGGAGAGACCAGCAATACCTTAGATGATGTCACACTGCAGATGTACAGCTATGAGGCTGAAGGCACAGGAAGTGCTCTTTTTTCAGGAGGTAAGGTAAATTTTTTGGGGCATTGCTTAGGCACAGCTAACATTTCTATAAGACAGAATATCTCATGGCTCCATGTCCACTTTAAGAGAGGTTAAATAGATGGTCTTAAAATTGTTAGTTGATACAGAAACACTGACCATAATTTAATAATGACTTTTCTCTGTCTGTATGTACAGTTGACTATGGTTTGATCCAAATATGTTATATTTGTGACTTATTGCCAATCAAATGTATCTGTTAAAACACAGCAGTCCTATAGGTGGCCCCACAACACAGACAAACATGTAAAGGACTGTGAAAAAATGTTACACTATGAATGTAAAACATTGGATGCTCAGACTCCTAAGCATGAACAGCCTAAGCAGATCACTGCCTTCCAGATGCATCTTGGGAGATTTATGTCACCAGGCTGCCACCCCTATGCCACCCCTTAGTTTTCTCTTCTGAGATATATGCATAATTCAGCTGAAATAAGATGAAATGCTGCCAGTTATCAAAGCAGCATGCAGTTTTTATCTCAGGCATTGTGATAGTAATTAAGTGGGGAATCTCACTTTGTGATTGTACGTCACTGCTCCTCCATCTCGGCCTCCTCTGTTCTAACAGAAAGTGATAGGAAGTCTCTCTGCCAGGTACACAAACGAAGACAAAAACATATTTTTAGCAGAGTGACGAAGGGCTATTACCTCTGTCAATGTATCTATTGCTGCCTGTGTCTTCCTATCCCTATGACGCCCATGCTCCACATTTCCTGTACGGGCGTCACAGGGACAGGAAGAAAAGGAATCTCCATTTCTGAAATGGAGTCATCAGTAATGTGGAATCTACCGCACTCCTGACCGGAATCCCATAAGATAGATGGGTGCTGGTATAACCTGTGGATGGCACTGCGTTATCACAGAAATGTCCAAGAGAAGTCCCCTGCACTCCAAGGTCCAATGTGCTGAACTCTTCTTTTATTCAGACGTTATAAAAACATGGTGGCACAGTGTAAAAGCAACATTTCAGGACCAAACATGGTCCCTTCATCAAGCAAACACGGTAAGTACCTGAGGTTTACTTAGTATCAGCCTCAAATAAGTATTGAGCTCTCATATACGGTAAGTATTTAATTTGTGTACTTTACGGTTTGCCCTGAGTTCAGCTTTAAAACATCTTCACCTATTTTCGTACAGCAAATACTCTGAAAAGAGATTGTTCATCACTTAAAGCATTTCATCACTGACCTTGTGTGGTTTTGTAGACAATGTAGACCTGCCATGCCAGCTAGCAATAGTCTGACTCTCATGCAAGACTTTAACAATGAAGGACACATGTTTACTGAAATCCTAAATACTGCCTCCTATTCCCTGCCTTTCATGTGGTACTGAGACTTTTATATAGAGATTTGTAGATGCCTATAATGATTTGATTCTACTGTAATGGTTTTAGTCTGCAGCACAGGAGGACATGTGCACGGCAGACAAACGATATTATCAAAAGCAGAAAACTACATAAAACCACTAGGACATGCATTTACGGACGTAAACCTTGTTTTATTTTTGTAAGAGCTAAACAAACCAAGGAAAAAGATAAGATGGATATTCTTGACAAGAATAAAGCTGCCAGTAGACCTTAAGATTCATGAAGGAACCACCCGCAGCCATACTCAGCACTCAACAAAGTTCTGCTTGACAGACCGTTCCCATATATACAGACGAAGATGGTTATGTCGATGCCCCTTTTCTTGGTTGATTGGCTTCTGCCACAGACAGCAAATAAAAATATAAGCAGAATTAGGAAA